TGGCATCTCCTCGGGTCGTGAAACGCGTTTTTATCCTCTCGCTGTCGGAGACGCAGCCCGGCTTTACCCATATTTTGAGGGACTTCGGGACGGCGGTTTAAAGGCAGGGAAAATCCCAAGCAAAACTTGAGGGGGAGGGAGCGGGGGGGAGAGAGGGAAGGAGGAGGGTTTGGGGACTTCAAGCAGAGCAATGCCTAGGAACATTAAATTAGAGCACATAACTATTAAAAATGCATGGAGATGGAGTATTTAAAATTCCTCCATGACATATAATATTAATCCGTTTTATGTAAAATTCATACCTGTAACTTAATTTGGTCCATTAATGCACCAGATCACGTATTAGTAGATGTACCATGTTTTAAATATGATGCTGGAAATGTCCAGAGTTCTGTACTTTGAGACAGAGCATTAAAATTAACAGACACATACTCCGGAGTCCTGCTTAAGTCATCTTGTGGCAGATTGTAACCTTTTAATTTAATAATGCAGTGTTCAAACTTTCTGTTAATTCCTGCAAAGGATTAAGAGCCATTGCATATTTGAAGGGAATGCCGGTGTAAGAAACTCGGCGCTCGATCCTACAGCTGCTGCAGCGCTTCGAGCTCTCCCTGAGCGAAGCAGGGCTGCTTGCTTGGGCAAAGGACTGCAGGAAGGAGTAAAGGCTGCAGGATCTGCCCCTAAGCTTGTAAGTCAAACCCAACAGAAGGGAAGAAATCCATAATGGTGATTAATGATTGCATGTCCCCTCAATGCTTAGTCACAACGGGTGATATATAAAGGATGCAGTGGGAAGCTGTCAAACCCAGAACTTGAATGAGCGGTGATACTGGATCATCTGAAGCGTATAATGAAGTACACTTTCATTCTCTCTCACCCTTTAAAAACATATGTTTTGAGGCTCTGCTTACAAATACTCACAGTCTTGTTTTCCTTATTTTGTCCCACATTACCAGTGCCATCCATGGCAGTTGGGTTCCTCTCGGCACAAAATTTAAGTGCGTGGTATAAATCTTTGTCTGACTGAGGTCTAGATTTGTATGCTGCACCGTGACAGTGTGATGGGAAGATGTACTTCCATTAGCTATGGGCTGGATGATCCCAGTTCTGCCGCAGTCATTGCTTTTATTCTGTGAAACTCCACTCCCTGCAGTCTCCAAGTCTCACCAGGTGGAAATACATATGGGCCTTAAAGCACAAGTTACGGTTACACTTTGTCTGTTTCCCAGAGTCTTGGTAATATGGACAGACTTGATGTGCTGTCTAAAAAAAATGATTTGTTAAATTATGGTGAGCATGCAGACTCAAATCTTGCTGGTCCAATTTAATTAAAATCTGCGTGAAACTAGATACGCTGTAATACTGGGTTGTTCTGTTTTGTACTGAATCCCTCCTGGGAGCTGGTCTGATCTTGCTGGAAATCTCTGGGAAACCCCAGTGTGTAGCTGGTTCCCCTTTAGCTCTCCCAAAGCTGATTTGGACAGATTATTTCTGACATACTCACTGTAGCAGCACTATAGCAAATCCACTGAGACCACGTTGGCGCTTGAAGATGACTCAGTATTTCTGGAAACCCATGAAGAACCACAATGTGCCGCAAACCTCTTTTTCCATCGGAAAACCCTTCCACCGCAGCAAGTACGAAGGGAAATCTGAGGGTCTGTAAGCATTGTTGAAGTTGGGAGAAGACCGTGTGCGTTCACATAGCTAACAGATCACGGTAGAGATATGTGGGAGAGGGAAAAACAGCCCTCCCCTCCAACTATCGCATAAATATTCAGGGGATTTCCTCTAGTAACTCCCTTTGATACTCATGAAGTTGATACATGCTAGTCCGACATGCTCGGCTGAACAATAGGCACCAATTCCCTGTTAACAACCGGTCTGCTTTTGCTCTCCTTGAAGTCAATGGGAGTTTTGTTATTGACTTAAGTGGGAGCAGGTTGGGTCGGCTGCTTTTTCAAAATTTAGATTGGATGTGCACCAGATGCTAAGTAAATTGCTCTAGAAATGGGATGGAAACCCCGGAATGTTAGCAGTGGAGGTAGGCATAGTGAAACTCTTCATCCCTGAAGCTGTACACAAGAGAGAGGGACAGTGGTTACCGTTCCTGCTTTTGTCCTATTAATAGCAATATTTTTCATGACATGAGTATATAGGGATTAACGCTCCTGTTTTTCACCAGACCAAGTTTGAATTTTTAAAATAAATTCTGTGCATCTTCAAGCATGTGGTCCCTTCCTGGCTGGCTGGAGGAATTCATCTGTCTTGGCTGGGTCTTTCTGTGCTGTCTTCCCACATCCAGAGTTGAGATTTATTTCCATTGTAACCAACTCTTGCAATGTTATCACAAGATCTGTGATAATGCTTGAATGGACCAGTTTGGTCCATTAAAAGAGAATTGATGAGTTCAGATCACATCATCGTGCTCTCTGGAGCTTAAAAAAGTTGCTTTTGATTCAAAACCAGAGTAAAGCAAGTTAAAAATGAAAACCTGATGACTGGCCTTGTATCCCCTTTGTCATGAGGATAATCCCATTGAACTTGACGAGAATGAGTAATGTAGGCTGAATTTGTCAGCACAGGTCTGGGTATATGAATATGCCATTGACTCCAGCTGAAAAAATAAACCTGAGACATTGACACTGTCTCTGGGTCCTGGCACCAGGGAAGGAGAACGGTCCTTCCAAGTGCAGAACACGGGACATTTCCTCTGACAGCACTCCGGATCCACAGATGTTTGTGCGTGATACAATGCCACTGAACCAACTGGTGCATTGGATAGTACCGCATTAGTTCAAATAGTCTCAGGACAGATAAAATTTGAAGGGAACACATTTAGGTATGCAGACAGAAGCAAGCAATCAACGTGGTTTCTAACACAAGGTTACTTGCTATACCTACCTTAAGAGGGCATGAAATGCACACAAATGCACAATACGTTTTTATTCTTAAGCAGGTTATGAAACAGTGGTTGAGTCAAGTGTCCCTGTTTTGGGGCTTGGGGCACAGTGTATCAGAGCAGTGCAGTAAAATCCCACGCTTTCCTTTGCTTGAGGCTGGTAACTGGTGTGACAAGTTTCATCCTGGTGGGCACAAAGATATTGAGCCCCCCCCCCCGCCCCCCATTCCTGTTGACTTCAGCAGGCAGCCAGAGGACTCAGGATCTCGGAGGAGCTGCTCAACACCTACAAGGGCTGATCATTAAAAAAGCATTATAAATCTCTGAATGGTTTATGGTTTATGAGGGAAATAGCAATTGATTCCTCAGTGGTGCCATTACTCTCCACTATTGCTATCATTCAAAAGGCAATAACGTTGGTTATTTACCTTCAATTAAAATATCTAGTTAGTTGTGATGTCATTTAAAATAGCACTATAATGTGTTTAGTGCTCCCTTATCAAACACCATAGATAAACTCCTCTTGGCAACAGGGGATAGTGATATGAAATGAAAAATTGGGTGGGGGAATGAGATGGAGGAAAGAATATGTAAATCTTTTATTGGATTATTATTCCTACATGCCTATGTCCCCTTAGACACCGGGCTGGAGGTGAGACTGTGGGGTCCTTTGCAGTGACACCCCATGGGTCCTCAGAATGGGTCAGGGAAGGTCCATCGGGCATTTGGGGAGCACAGAGAAGTCACCTCACTCTGCAGACTACCAACAGACTGAAATCCATCTGTCTTCTGGTACCAGTCCTCACCAGGGACGATTCACCATCAGAGCTCTTCCAAACCCTTCTTAATGCAAACCCTTTCCTCAAATAGCACGAGTCATCTTCAGTACTGTTCTCCTATTTTCCTCAAAGCCAAAATGTAAATGCAACTCACACACTTCACTTAATGTGGTGGGGTTTTTTTCTCATTCTCTCGTTGTGGTCATGACAGAATTTTCTGTTTAATGAGAAAACCTAAGAGATTCTCAAGATCTTCACCTTCCCGTTGCCCCCCGTGCATGAAGTGTAATATAAAATAAATAGAAAAATGTTTGTTGACTGCTCACAACAGCTCTTCCCAGACGAAAGAGAATTATTTTTTTGTGCATGTTCACATAGTTGTCCAATTTCGAGCATCCTTCTAATTACAGAAGCATATTCCTGCCCACCTCTTTATGCTTTCCTTCAGCTTCGTATGCTACAAAAAATCACGTGACAACAAACATTTTGGAGAGATGAGGAACAGAATAAAAAAAACCCTTCTCCATGGCTTAATGCTTATGTAAGCTTTTTTTTACATGAACACGGAAATAAATGCATAAAAAAATATTTTACCTCAATTAGTGGAGAACCAAAAAAAAGACTGTAATGGGGTTAGTATCTACAAGAGCTTTTCCTGCTGTGCTGCCTCCAGCCTGGGTACGGTGTAGAAATTTGTGCAAACCCACCTCCTCCTTTCGAGAGGCTGCGGGAGCAGACAACATTGATATGTCACTGACAGATGCCCTGGCATTTTGCTGGTGGTTGTATGTCGGCCGAAGGCTAATGTCATTTAAGAAGGTTGCTTTGTTCAGGTGACCAGAAACACTGGGTTTGTTGGGTAATGTCAGATTTCTGCGTTGACTAAAGCAAGCTTGTGGCAAGAAAGATAACTCATGTTGACAACCTTCTGCAGTGTCGTCCAAATATAAGCAATCAAGATACTTATTCTGGGGAAGGGGGAAATAATTTAGGAGTATTTTGAGCAGCTTCCTGAAAGAACACTACATTAAACTGAGTTACATAGTAACAGATTGAATTTGGAGTCTTAACTTTAACTTTAATTTTATTTTGTGTAGATTTAGATCAGATTTACATGCAATGTCATGCCCTTTGTTTGTAGGCAGAAATTC